TTTACAATTTGACCCTGCCTTTAATTTACTCCATGCACAAACTTATTCATATACCTCCGTTACCTTATTACTATATTGTTTAATGACTTTTAAGGTATCATCCAGTGGCCCATCATATTCACTTAAGTCTAATGGAGCAGTTGAGAGAAAAAATAGAACTCTTAAAGGAGATGATGAATGTTATACTTATTAGTTGTGGTGCATCTAATAATTTTTAGGGAGAAGTTTTGCTTACTGCATGTTTTTTAATAAATAGAATCCCCCATAAGATTGTTATAAAAATTGTGTCGTTGTCGTTATACTGGTATTGCAAAATTTCTAGTGTTGGTTTTTTTATTGTGCACTTTCCGCAAGAATCGTTGGATCGTTGCAACTCCAACCCTCGTGCTTCCAACAAAATCGTTACTGCCGTTCTTTTTGATTCGCAATGTTTTAATTTATTAAAAACATTATTTTTTCAAAAGATATTTTGGCAGATATTTTGAATCTTTTGGATTATGGGCCTGATTCACGAGCTCTATAAATAAAGCAATTCATTCCGTTCAAAACAAAACCATTCTTTTCTCATTCTCTCTTCTCTTGGTTTCATTCTTTCTCTTTTCTTGTTTTCCTAAAAATATTTTGGGTTTATTTTATTATCCTTTTAGAGATCCTTGTTAATTCTGAGATCCTCAAAAATTTTGAAAAGTTCTTATGGTATCTTGCACAATACAAGACAATTATCTACATACCTCAGAATATCCTTTTTTTGTAATCTTTATTCTTTATTGTTAACTTCTACAACAAAAACTTTACACTTCAAAGGAAAATAATAAATTAGTAATAATAAAATAATAATATAAGAATAAAATAAGTAAAAAGATGGTTTAGACCAATTCTTGTGGACGAGAAATCGCTACATATTTGACTTTGAACAAATGCTCACCCATAATAACAAATACCGACTGCATGAATATTCCTCGTATTTTTAGTTGTTCCTAAACNACAAACATGAATTATATTTGAGATAAACAAGAAAGTGGGTAAAAAGTAACTACAAGCTATCCTGAATTTTGTGACTTTTGTTTTTTTAATATTAATGACTTAAATATAGAAGTAGTATCGTTAATTACGAAAAACATTTTCTAAAATAAAAAGTAAGTTGTCTATTTCATTTCTTTCAAATTCATTTTACAATTTTATCCTTAATATTAACTGTAAGATTGAAGGTAACAAAATTGATAATTGATCGGTGAAGAATAATACACTATTTACAGATGAAGTTCATAACATTATAAAAGAGAGTATGTACCTATAATATTCATGCATGAGAAAAGTCACGATTGGATTGGTAATAGATAAAATGAATAAAAAAAAGAAATAGATTGGAGAGAAAAGAGAGATGAAAGTAAAATTGTTTCGTTTAAGAAAAGTACACTAGATAGTACGTATAAGGAAATAAAAAGAAAATTTATAAGTCTATGATTGATGTAAATAATCATAAAAAATGTTTCAATGAAGAAAATTTGGAGATAACCAAATTTTTTCCTTTGGTATAGATTATTATTATTATTTTTATTACATAAAGTATTATTATTAACATTTTAATAATTATTATTATTATTTTAATCATTACCATTATGAGTATTATAATAATTATTTTTATAATTATAATTATTATTTTTTATTATTATTAGTAATAGTATAATTATAATTATTAATATTAGGTTTAAACCCTCATATGATTCTCATTTGAGAAATTTCAAGTAGATTCTCTTATTTAAAACGGTCTCCATCAGGTCATGACTTTTGTAAAATCGTAACAATTAAACCTTTTTTGTTATGTGGCAAAAAACAAGGTCAAGAGATGTAGACGTCTTACACAATAAATATACTGATGTTAATGATTTTATTATGTGGAATTAATATTTAAATTAAGATGGTGCATTAGTTTTTGACATGACATTGTGTAATTGGTCGTTATAGTTAAAATAAAAGATTAGGGATTTTGTGCTGTTAATATTAGAGATTTGTGGGGTTTAGAGAAAGAGAGATTTCAAAAGGAAATTAGGGATTTCATATTCGAACAATAGACAAACACTGCGAAGACATTTGAATACGAATCGGAAAGAAGACAAAGATAATCACCTCAGGCTTTTGAAAGATGTACCGAGCGGCCAATCGAAGGACGAGCGTGCGGCCTACATTGCAGGAGCGTGAGTGACCAATCAAAGGACGAGCGTTCGATCTACATTGCAGAAATGCGAGTGGTCAATCAAAGGACGAACATTCGGTCTATAGTGCAGGAGAACGAGCTTTCGGAGAGCGAACGGCAAAGTCCCGTGTCTCGGTCTCACAAAATATCTACCAAAACAACTTTAAAAAAGTTTGAAAACAATTATGGAATTGAATAAATCAATATAACACAAAAATATTGAAACAAAAGAACACAAAAAAATGAAAATAAACAATTTTAGAATGAAAAGTTCTTGTTGGATAGTGGGTTACTTACGTGGTTTGTGAGGCTCTCAAATCCAAAGGGGCATATTAGTATTCGAGCCATGCTTAGAATAGAAATTCATGGATGGAAATCATTATCATGTTAAACCTTTGTTAATAGTAATTGTGTAGCACCTCTTTATTATCAAATTCAATAAGAACAATTAGAAAAATAGTATTAAAATAAATTATAAAATAAAATATAAATTTATACGAGTAAATATACTATGGTGATAAAATATATTTATATTGATCAAAATATATAAATGATCTTATTTTTATAAAAAAATAATATCATGTGCCATATTATCTTAATTTAGAAAACTAACATGTCCATATTTAAATCACACTTGTTTCTTGTAAAAGATATAGATTTTTTTTTCGATAACATGCAACAAACATATATACAAATGAAAACGACAAAAACGAAAGACTTGTAAAAAGACTTGATACAAAAGCTACAAAAACGTCCTTATTCATCTTTTAACATTTTGCAAAGACCTTGACTTAATAAAAAGGTACCGTCATTAACTTCTTAAATCTATTACTCTATAAAACTTTAGTCATTACATAATTTTCTTTTCCTGTATAAATCTATACCGGTACACGAATCATGTTCTTAAATTATTATAGATGTTTTGTAAATTAAAACTAATAGAATCTATATTTTTTTTACTTCAAGTTCAATGGTATCCAAGGTATTGTTCTTTTGAAGTTTGTGTTTTTTTTTTTCATTTAAAAAATATCTTGAAAGATTAATAGAAAGAATAGTACATATAAATTATTATTGACATCGATTCTTATATAACGTGAAATTATTAAAAATATTAAAATAAGTCACTCAATTACGATATAAGTAGTACGAAGATTCATCTTTAGATTAAGAGACTTTTAGAACCGTTTTTTTTTCTGATAGATAACACTTATATTTTGATCTCAAGTTTGTTGATCATAATGTCAATCATCATATAAAAAACATTGTCCACTAAACTCAAACTTGCATCACAATTTTTGTTCTCATAAGATTGAGAGAAGATGATGTAATGAAATTGTTTTCAACCTCATCGCTTAAGAAATGTAAAACTATTATATATATAAAAATAAATGTCTATTCATAATTCATAGTCTAAAAAGAATGAGTATTTATTTTTAGAACCATATTTATCTCTATATATATATAACATCAAATATTTCTCATTTAATATAATATCTTTAGTTGAAAAGTGTATTTGAAGAAAAATCTTCATTGTCTTTATGCATTAACTAAGTTACTTGTTTTTGTATATCCAATAATTTCGTATTATATTGGAGACGAAATTAAAAATAATCTAAATACACATTTCTCTTTTAATATAGGCATTCACAGTTACAATAAAAACATGTCATTTTAACCTTAATGGCATACAATTTGATTTAGTTTACACTAATTACAAGAAAAAACTTCAACATTATTCTATTATAGTGTTTATAAAATAAACAAAAATTCAAGTGTTAGTATTCTATTCTAATTTCTAGGTGAATAAGATGATATTGAGTTCATTTCTAATATTTTTTATTATTTTATCCAAGATTGATGTTAATAAAATCGATAAAATATTTATCATCGAAAGATAATATAATATTTAGATGAGTACTATAAAGCAGAGGATAAAATATCCATGCATGAAAGTAGACATTGGATAAAGGGATCGAAGAAAGACTCTAGGAAGGTAATTTTGATTATATTTGATATATATTTTTAATATATAATGGATATAAAATTGCATCTTATTTTTGTTCGCTATATATAATAAATATATTTGTATTTGTTTAAATATTTATTAAGTATTTTATATTAAAATTAAAAATTATAATAAATAAAATTTGATTTTATCAAGTGTATCTCGGTACATGATTTTCTTTTAAAAAGTAATTTTAAAGATATGAGAACAGTAGATGATTTTTATTGCAATAATTGACTCCATTATTAGGATACCAGCCTGCAATGTTTGACTATCATGTGTGAACAATAAAAGCCATTTTTGACATGTTACCTAATGCCTACAATGACTCAACTTTCTTTTTCATTTGGTGTTGTTCAAAGTCCAAACAAAAAAACGAAATTTCATAATTTTTAAATTTTTAAATTTTTAAATTTTAAAATACATGGACTTTTTAACCATTTTCAAATAACTCTTGTAAACTTTTATAAATTCTTTTAAAAGAAAGTGTGAGAATCTAAAATTTGAATAATATTTATTCTAAACTTGTGATAATTAAGACAATTGATCAATACGTGTTTAGAATAGTGTTTAAGTTAATTGTACCATTTTTTACAAGTTTTAATTTAAATGACAGAATGAAATATTATTTAGTAAGCTAAAAAAACATTATTATATGTTAAAAAATTATATATTTACATTCTTTTTATCATGTTATATATTTTAGTAAATTAAAATTAAAATTTATATTAATTTTAGTTTCATATATTTATTAAATAAATCAGTTCATGTTTTTAAAATTTGAAGTATAAGATCACACAGTAACAGCAGAGTAGATCTATTCCATTACAACCATCATTCTACTATATATTTCTCCATATTGTACAATATGATTATTAATATAAATAAGAGAAAAACATAAACATAATTTATATTAACGATGAAAACCAAATCAATACAATATTATATAATTTTTTTTCATGGACTTGGAGGACGACGAGGAAGAAAGTTGTGGCCTATGGGATCAGCACCTCCCAGGAAGCGTCCATCTTGATGGTACCCAAAAGTAATATTGAAAATGAATAATCAGTAATTCCACATAAATTAAACATTGATACTAAAGAAATATAAATAATGAAATTAAAGGCTTTTTATGATAAAAAATAATCTGAGTTTTAAATAGAAATCATTTTTAGCATTCTCTTTAAAATGTTCTTATTTTTAATCTCAAGCATCTTCATCTTCTTCGATTATATAATTGAGGGCAATATGGAAAAGTAATGAAAAAAAATAAATTTAAATTAATATTTTTAATGAATGAAAAATGGTTGTTTAATTATACTGGAATTCAAAGGTAGAAGATTAGAAAATTTATGAATTAAAGATGAAAGATTAATAAATTGTTGTAAGGATGGTAGGTGACTTACTTGGTTTGTGAGGCTCTGAAATGGAAAGGGGTACCCTTGCAGTTGCCATATTCATTGATAAGAGAATCACAAATAGAAAAATCATCTTCATCAAAACCTTCTCATAACAAGCCATCTTAGATGGAAACATTTTTTCAAATACGTGAGAATATAGAACGAGAAGTCGATATAAATAGAGAAAAACAATATTGTGTGTGCTATTCCAGAACCTGTCAATTTTATGCACAGAGCATAACATTAAATTCGCTTATTATTATTGAAGGACTTATATGACTTTAAATATAATGTACGATATATAATGTATCATATATATATATATATATATATNAATTTACGGTTATGCCTGTTAACAAACATGAATTATATTTGAGATAAACAAGAAAGTGGGTAAAAAGTAACTACAAGCTATCCTGAATTTTGTGACTTTTGTTTTTTTAATATTAATGACTTAAATATAGAAGTAGTATCGTTAATTACGAAAAACATTTTCTAAAATAAAAAGTAAGTTGTCTATTTCATTTCTTTCAAATTCATTTTACAATTTTATCCTTAATATTAACTGTAAGATTGAAGGTAACAAAATTGATAATTGATCGGTGAAGAATAATACACTATTTACAGATGAAGTTCATAACATTATAAAAGAGAGTATGTACCTATAATATTCATGCATGAGAAAAGTCACGATTGGATTGGTAATAGATAAAATGAATAAAAAAAAGAAATAGATTGGAGAGAAAAGAGAGATGAAAGTAAAATTGTTTCGTTTAAGAAAAGTACACTAGATAGTACGTATAAGGAAATAAAAAGAAAATTTATAAGTCTATGATTGATGTAAATAATCATAAAAAATGTTTCAATGAAGAAAATTTGGAGATAACCAAATTTTTTCCTTTGGTATAGATTATTATTATTATTTTTATTACATAAAGTATTATTATTAACATTTTAATAATTATTATTATTATTTTAATCATTACCATTATGAGTATTATAATAATTATTTTTATAATTATAATTATTATTTTTTATTATTATTAGTAATAGTATAATTATAATTATTAATATTAGGTTTAAACCCTCATATGATTCTCATTTGAGAAATTTCAAGTAGATTCTCTTATTTAAAACGGTCTCCATCAGGTCATGACTTTTGTAAAATCGTAACAATTAAACCTTTTTTGTTATGTGGCAAAAAACAAGGTCAAGAGATGTAGACGTCTTACACAATAAATATACTGATGTTAATGATTTTATTATGTGGAATTAATATTTAAATTAAGATGGTGCATTAGTTTTTGACATGACATTGTGTAATTGGTCGTTATAGTTAAAATAAAAGATTAGGGATTTTGTGCTGTTAATATTAGAGATTTGTGGGGTTTAGAGAAAGAGAGATTTCAAAAGGAAATTAGGGATTTCATATTCGAACAATAGACAAACACTGCGAAGACATTTGAATACGAATCGGAAAGAAGACAAAGATAATCACCTCAGGCTTTTGAAAGATGTACCGAGCGGCCAATCGAAGGACGAGCGTGCGGCCTACATTGCAGGAGCGTGAGTGACCAATCAAAGGACGAGCGTTCGATCTACATTGCAGAAATGCGAGTGGTCAATCAAAGGACGAACATTCGGTCTATAGTGCAGGAGAACGAGCTTTCGGAGAGCGAACGGCAAAGTCCCGTGTCTCGGTCTCACAAAATATCTACCAAAACAACTTTAAAAAAGTTTGAAAACAATTATGGAATTGAATAAATCAATATAACACAAAAATATTGAAACAAAAGAACACAAAAAAATGAAAATAAACAATTTTAGAATGAAAAGTTCTTGTTGGATAGTGGGTTACTTACGTGGTTTGTGAGGCTCTCAAATCCAAAGGGGCATATTAGTATTCGAGCCATGCTTAGAATAGAAATTCATGGATGGAAATCATTATCATGTTAAACCTTTGTTAATAGTAATTGTGTAGCACCTCTTTATTATCAAATTCAATAAGAACAATTAGAAAAATAGTATTAAAATAAATTATAAAATAAAATATAAATTTATACGAGTAAATATACTATGGTGATAAAATATATTTATATTGATCAAAATATATAAATGATCTTATTTTTATAAAAAAATAATATCATGTGCCATATTATCTTAATTTAGAAAACTAACATGTCCATATTTAAATCACACTTGTTTCTTGTAAAAGATATAGATTTTTTTTTCGATAACATGCAACAAACATATATACAAATGAAAACGACAAAAACGAAAGACTTGTAAAAAGACTTGATACAAAAGCTACAAAAACGTCCTTATTCATCTTTTAACATTTTGCAAAGACCTTGACTTAATAAAAAGGTACCGTCATTAACTTCTTAAATCTATTACTCTATAAAACTTTAGTCATTACATAATTTTCTTTTCCTGTATAAATCTATACCGGTACACGAATCATGTTCTTAAATTATTATAGATGTTTTGTAAATTAAAACTAATAGAATCTATATTTTTTTTACTTCAAGTTCAATGGTATCCAAGGTATTGTTCTTTTGAAGTTTGTGTTTTTTTTTTTCATTTAAAAAATATCTTGAAAGATTAATAGAAAGAATAGTACATATAAATTATTATTGACATCGATTCTTATATAACGTGAAATTATTAAAAATATTAAAATAAGTCACTCAATTACGATATAAGTAGTACGAAGATTCATCTTTAGATTAAGAGACTTTTAGAACCGTTTTTTTTTCTGATAGATAACACTTATATTTTGATCTCAAGTTTGTTGATCATAATGTCAATCATCATATAAAAAACATTGTCCACTAAACTCAAACTTGCATCACAATTTTTGTTCTCATAAGATTGAGAGAAGATGATGTAATGAAATTGTTTTCAACCTCATCGCTTAAGAAATGTAAAACTATTATATATATAAAAATAAATGTCTATTCATAATTCATAGTCTAAAAAGAATGAGTATTTATTTTTAGAACCATATTTATCTCTATATATATATAACATCAAATATTTCTCATTTAATATAATATCTTTAGTTGAAAAGTGTATTTGAAGAAAAATCTTCATTGTCTTTATGCATTAACTAAGTTACTTGTTTTTGTATATCCAATAATTTCGTATTATATTGGAGACGAAATTAAAAATAATCTAAATACACATTTCTCTTTTAATATAGGCATTCACAGTTACAATAAAAACATGTCATTTTAACCTTAATGGCATACAATTTGATTTAGTTTACACTAATTACAAGAAAAAACTTCAACATTATTCTATTATAGTGTTTATAAAATAAACAAAAATTCAAGTGTTAGTATTCTATTCTAATTTCTAGGTGAATAAGATGATATTGAGTTCATTTCTAATATTTTTTATTATTTTATCCAAGATTGATGTTAATAAAATCGATAAAATATTTATCATCGAAAGATAATATAATATTTAGATGAGTACTATAAAGCAGAGGATAAAATATCCATGCATGAAAGTAGACATTGGATAAAGGGATCGAAGAAAGACTCTAGGAAGGTAATTTTGATTATATTTGATATATATTTTTAATATATAATGGATATAAAATTGCATCTTATTTTTGTTCGCTATATATAATAAATATATTTGTATTTGTTTAAATATTTATTAAGTATTTTATATTAAAATTAAAAATTATAATAAATAAAATTTGATTTTATCAAGTGTATCTCGGTACATGATTTTCTTTTAAAAAGTAATTTTAAAGATATGAGAACAGTAGATGATTTTTATTGCAATAATTGACTCCATTATTAGGATACCAGCCTGCAATGTTTGACTATCATGTGTGAACAATAAAAGCCATTTTTGACATGTTACCTAATGCCTACAATGACTCAACTTTCTTTTTCATTTGGTGTTGTTCAAAGTCCAAACAAAAAAACGAAATTTCATAATTTTTAAATTTTTAAATTTTTAAATTTTAAAATACATGGACTTTTTAACCATTTTCAAATAACTCTTGTAAACTTTTATAAATTCTTTTAAAAGAAAGTGTGAGAATCTAAAATTTGAATAATATTTATTCTAAACTTGTGATAATTAAGACAATTGATCAATACGTGTTTAGAATAGTGTTTAAGTTAATTGTACCATTTTTTACAAGTTTTAATTTAAATGACAGAATGAAATATTATTTAGTAAGCTAAAAAAACATTATTATATGTTAAAAAATTATATATTTACATTCTTTTTATCATGTTATATATTTTAGTAAATTAAAATTAAAATTTATATTAATTTTAGTTTCATATATTTATTAAATAAATCAGTTCATGTTTTTAAAATTTGAAGTATAAGATCACACAGTAACAGCAGAGTAGATCTATTCCATTACAACCATCATTCTACTATATATTTCTCCATATTGTACAATATGATTATTAATATAAATAAGAGAAAAACATAAACATAATTTATATTAACGATGAAAACCAAATCAATACAATATTATATAATTTTTTTTCATGGACTTGGAGGACGACGAGGAAGAAAGTTGTGGCCTATGGGATCAGCACCTCCCAGGAAGCGTCCATCTTGATGGTACCCAAAAGTAATATTGAAAATGAATAATCAGTAATTCCACATAAATTAAACATTGATACTAAAGAAATATAAATAATGAAATTAAAGGCTTTTTATGATAAAAAATAATCTGAGTTTTAAATAGAAATCATTTTTAGCATTCTCTTTAAAATGTTCTTATTTTTAATCTCAAGCATCTTCATCTTCTTCGATTATATAATTGAGGGCAATATGGAAAAGTAATGAAAAAAAATAAATTTAAATTAATATTTTTAATGAATGAAAAATGGTTGTTTAATTATACTGGAATTCAAAGGTAGAAGATTAGAAAATTTATGAATTAAAGATGAAAGATTAATAAATTGTTGTAAGGATGGTAGGTGACTTACTTGGTTTGTGAGGCTCTGAAATGGAAAGGGGTACCCTTGCAGTTGCCATATTCATTGATAAGAGAATCACAAATAGAAAAATCATCTTCATCAAAACCTTCTCATAACAAGCCATCTTAGATGGAAACATTTTTTCAAATACGTGAGAATATAGAACGAGAAGTCGATATAAATAGAGAAAAACAATATTGTGTGTGCTATTCCAGAACCTGTCAATTTTATGCACAGAGCATAACATTAAATTCGCTTATTATTATTGAAGG